ATGAAAGCATTTTCATTAAATATTATTTGCACCATGATTCTAAACATAGTTGGTATGTTTGAATATGCATTTAAAGGCAGTGTGTTAGGTGTTTTAATATAGAGGTATTTAGGAGTAAGCGAAAATATTAGTCGCATCACAACTAGGAAGCAGTTACATCCAAATAGAAATATATGACGTAATGAAAGATGATTAAAACTACTCTAAATCATAAGAAAATTCTGTATCTACATAGAGGCTGATTGGTCGAAGTTAAACTATGGTGCTGTGAAAATAAGACACGTTAGGAAAATTAATACAAGCAATCACAGTCAAGAATACAAGTAACAAATTAATTTCAATCTATTTTCAACATAATGCATGAAATCTATGGTTGGGTAGTGGTTAACATTAAGATTCGAGATGTGCATTTCATATCATCTGGGACTGACCAGATGGATGAACAAGCATTACAGTGTTGGCGCTCACACTAAGGCACCAACCCACTGACTTCGGCTTCAAGTCCCAACGTATTACCCACTAGGCTACTGTGTTCAGATAGCTTGTGCAATGAGCATGAGTTTAATTCGTAGGGTTTCATATTTTCACATTTTGATATTAGGGATCTCAAATGATTAGTCAATATGTACCAACACTGAGTTATGGGAACATCCAGCAAACGAGTTATAAATAGGATGAAAAGCGAGTCCTGGGTTCCATCATTCGCCACTATTCAACTCCAATAAAAACGTAGCTAAATGCTAATATCGACGAATTCCACTCAGGATGCACATATATCAATAAGAGACTTATCAATTACAGAGTCCATAATATTGGCAACGGAAAAGTAAAAATCCCCATAAATGAAGTGTAATTAAGACGATAACGCCATCGACTACACTCTTGATTGCATCCAATTTCTATCGATTCGCTTAACAAACCAACTAACTTGTCAATACATAAGTAATTAATCTGATATCGTAAACCTTTGTAAAGTTTACTTCTTCGAACCATGTTGACAAAAAACTAAACGAACATGTGCACAAGTATGTTAAACATGTTAAACGTGACTGAATGGCTTTTTCATTGACCGAATAACAATTAATTATCGAGTAACATTTTTTCCAGTGATCAAAACGCTAGTTCGTTCTAAATTCACCTTACAACAGAGTTGAAAAAATAACCACTAGTTTTGAATCCGATCAACAAGCACTTAAAAAACTGAAGTATTTTCGACAAGTACTACTTACTATTTGCAAGTAGTTTAAAGTCGGTGGATTTTTCAACCAAATAGGTATCAATGTTTTCTGTCCCATCAAATTGTTTTGCAGTGCATACATGAGCTTTTTACAGTTTCGAACTGATCAAAATATGAACGAACATAAACATAACTGACATTTCGATTATTAGATCTAAGAGTTAACCATATGTGTAGACTGATTTTTTTTTCAATTGTCATTGTAACAAATTAAACAAAATTATATAAGCCGTTCTTATCTTATATTTGGAGTGATTTTCAATCGTAAGGCTCACCCTTAATCCCCATTAGTTTAATTCTGATTACATACAGTATTAAATGCAGACAGCATGTATCCTAAATACAAAAAAATATGATCTCATTTCACTTATCCACTGAGTTAAGACTATCATGTCAAGTGTTTCCTTGGTTGAAAAAAAACAAAGACATTTGTGCGAAGATAATAATTGCACATAAAATTAACACAAGTCTAGGGCTGAACAATTAATTGAGTCTATTAACAATGCTAAATGAATTTCAACTTTGATTAATCATTTCTGGAGAATTGTTATATGATTAAGAAATAAGTTAAAGTATTGAACGTTTCGTTACGTTGATTTAACTAAGATTTAAAGTTTTAATTTCTCGTTAGTTCATATTTAATTAACATTTACTTCAGTCAGTTATGTACAAAGTAAAACCTGGCACATTTATTCACTGGTTCAGGTTGCCATACTACATTACCTCAACGAGATTTAATTATCCAAACAAATCCAACAGTAGTGAAAGTAGTGGTATCAGTAGTAGTGTAAAAAGTTAGGCACAAAAAGTTTACACGACTTTGAGACTCGTGATCTAAAGCAAATCCAAAGAACAAATGAATCTACGAGATAGGTATCGATTGTGAGCCTTGTCGCCTATCTCTAACCACTGACTATGATAACTGTATGGACCCCAACCAGGCAGCATGGGCCTATCAATAGGGTTTAGTTCAACAGTCAATGACGTCATGGGCTAATGCTATGTATTGGCTTGACCGACTGTCTTCCAGTTTACTTCTAAACCCCACAACATCGCCTGTTGAGGCAACATGTGGTTGAACAATACAAATCCCGGTAACCTTTCATATTTGGTGATTATCCGACGTAATTATCAACAGAACTTAACCGGTATATGTGTTTATATCAGTTAAAGTCAAAAAGTAGATAAATAAAAGACACTAAACCCTTTAACTATATTAAATTTTCCTTGACTTAGAGCACTCTTGAAAAGTGGTAATTTCAAAGGTGGTTTTCTTTTTTTCTCAATTACAACGTATAATCCACCATTTGCACGACACACAACCAGGGAGTCTTGGAGAACCAAGAGGAGCAAGTCCTGCATAGCGTTCTTTCATACCGCGACACCATGTCATACACTGACCACCTATCCGCTTTTTCCAACCAATTCCAGTGTCAGCAAATAATGCACGACGTAAAATTCCCTGGGACATTTGTAGGGTGTGTCTAAACCACCAAAGTTAATGTTTCAAGATTGTAACCCCAAGTGAATTATCATCGCTGTGCCCGAACACACGTTGCCGAGCCTGCATCACTGACATTGTTTTGCCACTGGATGTCAACAATCCTTCGGAGAAAACGATGACCAAACACAATGAGTCTTTAGTGGCCCGATATCTGACTCTAATTGGATCGTAATAATGTTATTGAAATATACATATCGGCTATTCGCGTATATACTTATCGACTCAATACGTGTTGGCGAATAACGCAATTAAATAAATCAAATATGAGGATGGATTTTGAATATCTATATATCATGCACTCATTGATTTGAACAGGCAATCAGGGAGACGAAACAAAGAGGAAAGAGCGAAGCAAAAGGGAGACGTGTGAGCCAACTCGTTTTATTCAAGCGTTAATCCATATTTATAGTCAGATAGAAATAAGTTACAGACGTGATTAGTAGGATAATAAGTGCACACATACGCCTGTTCGGAAGCTAGAATAAGCTACGTGGGCTTAACATAGCACTACAAGTCGTCTAGCGTCAACTCGAAGAGGCCAGGTTTCACAAGCATAGAGCAAAACTGTTCGAAAGTGTTGGAGCCAGATTAACGTCACAAAAGCGCCAAACATGGCCCAGATTGGCATAAGCCGCTTTGGTTTTCACTATACGTGAATTGATCTCATTACTCACGCCACCACCAGTACTTACGCAGCTACCCAGACAAACGAACTTCCCGACTAATTCCATCCACTCACTACCCAGGATGAGTGCACGCTCAGGGTCCTGCCACTTTTGTAAAAGTACCTTGTACTTAGAAGGTGCAAAGCACATACCATACCTACGAACAATGATTACCGACTGATTAAGTGCGGATTGTATGGCTTGGGTACCATCGCACAATAGGATAATATCGTCCGCATACTCAAGGTCGAAAAGTCATTCTTTAGGCAACAGATCCACACCACCATCACCTACATGCATCAGAGCTGCTTCCAGAACGTCATCGACAGCAAAGTTGAAGAGCCATGGTGAGATTTGGCAATCCTACTTAACCCCACTGCTTGAATGGGACAGTGGAGAGAGGTAGTTGTATATAGGGCTTTCAAGATGTTAATAAATCCTTCTTTAATAGACAATCCCAGAGAACGGTCCTGTCCAGCGAATCGAAGGCAGCCCTGATGTCAAGTAACGCTACGATTGTTGGCTTGTGATAAGTATGACGATGTTCTAGCATTTGGAAAAGGGTGAAGATATGATCAATACATCCTTAACCAAAACGAAAACCCACCTGCTCCTCTCGATTTAATCTTTCTCAGGTTTTGAACAATCTGAGAAGTATGACGGAAATCAATAGCTTGGACGCAATCGGAAGTAGACTTATCCTCTGATAGTTATTGCAGAAACGACGTGAACTCTTTCTAAAGATAGGGACAACTATCTACTTATTCCATGATGTTAGAACTCTAATTGCCAGACCTTTGTAAACAACTGTCAGTTCCTTAGCCAGGAAGTCACTAAAATCTTTAAAAAGGGCCGGAGGTAAGTCATCTGGGCCCGGTGATTTGTAGCGCTTCAAGAGTTGGAGTTCCTTGCGGACTTTCGCCTCGCTAGGTGCAGATCATTGTCACTTGGTCTTAGATGTATCAGAAACTCAATAACAGCTCTACACTAAAGCACTAAGAATCTTGATATTAAACGATTTTTTTTCAAGCTTACCCAGATCTTGAAGTTTTACGAAATATTTGGAATTCATCACAATATGTACCCAAAAGAATTGATTTTATAAGATAGTATATTGAAACCTATTGAATAGCTCTTTAGTTTTCATCATATCCTCCCAAACTGAATAAGAAAATGCCAAATAATATCGTCGGTTCTAATATTAAATGACTATTTAACAAACAGTGTGCCTTAACCCGATTGTTTGTTGACTAACGGCTAGCTGAAACTCGACAAATCACATTGCAACACTAACAAAAACTAAAGAGATACACCAAAAGTTCCAAAAACGTTCCGTCACCTAGAAATTCTCCTACATAGTAAATCAAATAGATTTACTGAAAAACTCACTTATTGATGATAAGATACGTTGGGCTAAATTATTACAATATTGTTTACATGAAAAGAAAGCAGACAGCATTGACACTTTACTTGCTAACATATAAATGCATATGTAATTTCTTCAGGCAGAGGTAAAACTAAAAGCGTATCAATGTAATAAAATGAAAATCACAAGATCGTAAAATAAGAAGTTAAAAACAACAGAAAAGCCATCCTTCATGTTAACATGACTAATATTATCGTTGATTTTATTACAAGTGCTTTGTTTAGTGTAAGCGCAGTAGAAAGACAACAAAGATTATCAGCTTAAAAAGTTACGAAGAGAAACATTCGAAGATGAGAAAATAGCTGAAATCCAACATTGCAAATATTATTATCACTGTCGTGATCTCAAAACTCTGAAATTCGCAGAACTATCAGGTCCCAAAAAAATTAGGGCAAATGAAGTATTAAGAATTTAATTATCCCCATCTTTACCTTCAGCATTTCTAGCCAACTTTATTGTATGTAATATATATCACATTTTCTTATAATCATCTCCCAACTCTTTTATTTGTACGTGACCTATTTTCATCAACACGTGGTGATGTTGATTGAAAAACTGATGAATTTGCCATCATATTTTCGATATATTGGCCAAGGATTTGATTTTCAGAACGTAATTTTAAATTTTCTTCTTTTACAGCATCTACCCGTGTGGATAAATCTTCAAGTGTATGTTGTAGCTCCAAAATCTACATTCGTTTAGAACAAAATGATAAAAAAAGCATAAAAACAAATAAAATCAATATTAGTTATGAAGATCTGAAAAGTTTAGAAGGTGGACCTAATGCGTGCAAACATGACTTTACGCGCAGTTCGGGAGCCCCTAGTTTTGACTTGAGCAAGTAACCATTTAGATACTGAATAGGGATTCACATGAGATGCAACAATAATTCTAAAAACACAAAACATTGGAAACGTTGTATGCTAGTGTCACTTATTTTGTTAAACAATTTAACTGTATTTTTACATCCATAAAATAATAGATGCTAAATTGGCGTAGTGACTGGGCTTGCTTAACGCGACAATTCAACTGAACTATATTGATTGAAATACTTGTTCTCTAATATCCTACAATGACAAGTAGATCGGTCGGCAGATTGCAAAACACAAAGCAGGTATGAGAGTTGGTTACACTGATGTATGATAGGAACAGGATGTTTCCCACAGATAACCAGTACCTCCAGAGAACCTGGCTCTCCACAAAGAAAAAAGAGGTTGAAAATGTCTCTTGAACATTTGTCACAAAAATTTCGTTTGAAAATACTTATTTTCAGTAATTACAGTCTCTATGTAATCACTCAAAGCAATTTATAAACATGGAAATAAAGAAACAAAAGCTTACCTGACTTATTAGGCGTTGTTTTTCCTCAAGATCTGCTTCTAAAATTTCGTTATCAATTTCCGGAGGAAGGTCGTTCGATGAATCGACATTGTTAGGACTGCATTTTGCAAAGTCAGTAGTCATTACTAGAGATGAATTGACCTATACGATTAAAGTGTGTAAAAATTATAGTTGTATTACGGTTACAAATAACCTCAAGTTGTTTCTCTTATGTTATTCGCCATATAGTCAAGGATAGCTCTATAATAATCCCTACAACATATATGCTTACTGGCAACAAAAGATAAAAACACACTGGCCAAAGTACCACCTGTAACATGTGAATTTAAGTAAGGCTTCTAAAATCTAACTCTTACTTATCGGACCGTGTGATGGAAACAACTTTTATTCATAAATGGGCTTTCACAGCAAAGGCACATATAAAATAATTAAATTAGCGTTAACTACTGGAATCTAAGTCTAAGTTATTCAGCATTACAGCCTGAATAGTACAGCAAATAGAGGAAAAACTCAAGCAAATACCAGTCAGTGATTCAGTAACAACGTAAAACTTCGTACGTACGTACATCAGTTCGAGTTACCAACCACATTAGCACAAACATGCAGTTGTCAATTCAAACCCCATAGTGGAAAAGGTAGTAAAAGTATAAGCAGTAATCGGAAGGATTAGGGTTTGAAGATGTTATTCAAGGAGTATAATCCAGTGAAATAAATTTGGAAAGAGGAAAAAGAAATGGACATGAAGAATTCAGAAGATTAGAATATGGGAGAACACAAAGAGTGGATGCACCTGCGTCATTGCAAACGATTTCGAGCCATGTCATTCAGGGTCTCTAACCATCGGTTGCTATCATCTCGCGGTCCCCAACCAGGTAGTCTACACCTATCAACATGGCTCAGTCCACTTTTCAGTGACTTCATGGACTTGTGCCATGTTTCGATCTGGCCACCCCTAGCTCTCTTGCAACCTACTCCTATACCACTGAACATCGCACGTCGAGGCAGTTGGTGGTTGGGCATACGTAACAAATGTCCCAGCCATCTCAACTGATGAAGTTTCACTACCTCATCAATTGGTTTGCCATCCTTACCTAGTACCCGTTTCCTAACAACGGCGTTACTTACTCGATGGTCCCAGGATATACGAGCAATGTTTCGAAGACACCTATGATCAAATACTAGTAACCTACGAATATCCTCTACTCTTACCGGCCATGTCTCACTGCCCTTAAGTAGGACGGAACGAACTGCTGCGCAGTAAACACGTCCTTTGGTTGATAGACAGATATCTCGCCTACGCCATAAATGACGCAAGTTGACGAAAGCTAGTCGAGCCTTCTGTATCCGTGCTGAGATTTCGTCACACACCAGACCACAAGGGCCGATGAAACTTGCCAGATAAGTGAAGCGGTCGACACGCTCAACTACTTCACTCCCTACTATTAGTTCGGGTGTCGACGCAACCCAATCCTGAAGCAACATTTTGCATTTCGAGGGGAAGAATCGCATCCCGAACATACTTGCATTGTTGCTTTAAGTGGTCAGAAGACTCTGTATTTTGTCAGCGTCTTCACCAAATAGAACTATGTCATCGGCATATTCCAAGTCAACAAGTGAATCTCCTGGTAGGAGTTCAACCCTTGGAAATTTAGATGAGGAAAGTGTTATCTCTAAAAGTATGTCAATGACAAAGTTAAACAAGAATGGAGAGTGTGGGCAGCCCTGACGAACACCACTCGAGGAAATCAATTCTGATGACAGTTCGCCATAAGCTCTCACTCGGCCAGTTGTGTTCGAGTAGAGAGCCTTTGTAAGGTTAATGTACTTCTTTGGTACTCCTTTCAGTGACAAACACTGCCATAGAACCTTACAATTAACAGAGTCGAATGCCGCTTTAAGGTCAAGAAATAATACGATTGTGAGGCGTCTGAACGTGTGCCTGTGTTCTAGAACCTGACGTAGTGTGAATATCTGATCTATACAACCACGTCCAGGTCGAAAACCAGCCTGATTTTCTTTAGTCTGCTCTTCACGAGCTTTAGTTAGGCGTCGAAGTATTATTGAAGCTAATATTTTAGATACTATATTTGTCAAACTGATTTCTCTGTAATTGTCACAAGAGGACTTTTGTCCTTTCTTATAGACTGGCACAATCAGTGATTGAGACCAGTCAGATGGGATTACGTCCAGTTCCCAAATTCTACCTAAGACCTCAGTTAATCTCACTGCTAATACTGAACCACCACCCTTAAAAATCTCAGGAGTAAACCTGTCAGAGCCTGCTGCTCTCCCTCGCTTCAGATTTCTTATGGCTTTTTCAACTTCGTGAAGAGTCGGAGGACCTACATTAACTTGCCATTCAGGTTGACTGGAGATCGTGAGGAATCGAAGTGTGGCTGAAGGCCAGTTGAACTGATCCCTAAAGTGTTCTGCCCATCCATCCAATCTCCTGGATTGAGAATGTATAATATGTCCATCTTTCTCTGTGATTGTTTCGCCAACCTTCGAAGTGCAAAGTACTTCTACAGCAGTAGATGCTGCTGAGATTCAGTGTTTCTCCCTATCCTTTTGGTTTACCATACTAGCAGATATCAGTGCTGTTTCGAATATCATTCCATGCTGCCTCGGGGTGGGTATCGCATACACGGCTGCCCAACTGTTTTTCTAGTTGTTCCTCAAATATACTCTGGGCTTGACTATCACTAAGTAGGGCCCTAAGAGGTTTCTTTACAGCGTCTTTCCTACGTCCGCTCTCCCCCTCGAAATGCTCTCACATGGACACGCGTATATAGCCTCTGCCAGGGAAGTACTACTCACTGCCTTCTCGTGGCGGGGGTGTTGTTTACGAAAATGAGAGGACGAAAAGCGAATGTCCGGCGCTTTAACCGGATTCCAAACCAATGGTGCACAAGGGCTCCAGTATCCTGAGGGAACAAATGGCGTATGAACCAACTGTTGGTCACCGGCTTCCATGGGACTGAATCTCTTTACGATGCTCCACTGCCTTGTGGAGCAGACCTTCAGGTCGAAGGCTCGGGGAGTGGCCCCCTGAGAAAACCACCTGCTTCGGTTTGGGCACCCGGGCAGTATCACAGCCCTCACACATATCGAATGGGATTTGTGTGGCGTATATGTATTTGGTGCCTCCTTGTACCAATGTCTATGTGTTAAAATAAATAAATAATAACGTGCAGTAAGACTAAGACAAATACGCACTCTCATTAGAGCATGATCTGAATCTAAGCATGTGCTCCGGAACAAGCGACAGTCTTCTATGGAGCCCCTCCACCGGTGGCTGATAGCGATGTGATCTATTTGGGTCCAACGTTGGGACGAATCGGGGGGTCGCCATGTAAAAGGATATTTTTACTTATGCTTAAAGCTAGTATTTGCAAGAAACAGGCGGTTTTCTGAGCATGGCTGCAACAGACGGTCACCATTATCTGTCCTTTGAGCCACGATGCTATAAGATCCACCCAGGTGTCGTCCCTTTCACTTAATTTACCTACTTGAGCATTAAAGGTACCAGCCACTATTACTATATCAGCTTTTCGGAGAAGGTAGGAAAGCTTTCTGTAAAACTCATCTTTTACATCATCTGAGCTGCAGTCAGTGGGAGAATAGGCAGAAACGACGAAGAGGCAACGACGAGTGTCCCTATCTTTCCGAGTCGTTACTGTTCCGTTTAGTCGGACAGCGCACAAACGACTGTCTACTGGGATCCACTCTAAAAGAGCTAGTTCTGCCCTAGGACTCAATGCTATACCTACGCCGGCGAGGCCACGAGGAGCAGCATCAGGGCTTCCAGATACACGAAGTGTGAATCGAGTCGGTTCTTTATTTTGGCATGGTGAGGTCAAATGAATGACACTACTCGGATCCTGTATGAGCGTTTCGGAGACGCAGCACACATCGATGGCGCGGGATTCTAAAGTCTTAGGTAAGGAAGCCTGCTGTCCTATTTGACACAGTGTTCGGACGTTGAATGCTCCTACGTGTAGTTTAGAGTGTGGTTTCAGGAGACCAGAAATAACCTTCCGCGTACTCGAATCGTTTGCCATAGCGGTGCGAGATGATAAATAGACGTGAGGAGGGTTAGTCATGGAGATAAGAGAAGTACTGGGAGGTGTAGGAAGGATTTGGATGTGACCAACTTAGTCTCGTGTGCTGTTACGGGTATGAGGGCTGATGTCACTTTCCGGCTGCCCACACCGTGGAAGGGTATTTCTTGAGGAACCTGAAAAGGAAGTTGGATTAATGTTGGCCTTGAAGACCTGGGAGCGTGACAGCAGAGCCCAAGGGACAACTGCTTGAGGCTGGTCGCGCACGGCCTTTTCGTGGGAGTTTTTGATGTGCTAGGTCCGTTCTTCAAAGAGCCTTACCGCCGGAAACGGAAATCCGTGAGGTGTAACACTTTAAGGGTCAACCTTTTCTAACCACTTCCTTCCTTGTAAGAAGGCAGCATCGCTGCAGATGCTGATTGTCCGGGGGAAACACCTTACTGTTGTCACACCCCTTTACAGTCAACAGTACGACTTCGCCCTCAGATCATGAGTTGCTGCCTTTAGTCTTACCGTTCTCCAACCGACCTCCCTGGCATGGTAGAATCTACAGGAACATATGTTCCAGCCAATATAGCTCAGTTGGGTCATCACGATAGGTAAGCCCGACCACCGCGTCAAGGTAGCAGCTACGGTATGGAAAACAAATATCTAGAGTGCCTAAATGAATAAGTGATAACAGTTAGCCGGTGTGAAATTTGTAGTTCTGATAAACTGAAACGAAACTTCCACAAAAAAACTAGTGCTCGTAGATATTTTGTGGCATGGCACAGAACTCTAGACGCATCAAGAGTTTTTAAAGTTGATAACCTATATTCAACATACTTTTTAGATATCGAACCTATTTAGATTTATTTTCCGTGCCACTGAAGAAAGACAACTCCAGAAGCTATAACGCTATTAAAATTAACCATTTTAGGGAATTATTTTCAGTGGTAATCACGAATTATTTGGAAGATTCGGGATTATATTAGAAGCAAAATTAACTCTAAAAATTTCTACCTTATCTAGACAAAATATTTGGGAGAGGAATTCGTATCCCTACCACTTACGAAAACGGAATATTTGTAGTCAAGATGTTTGCAAATTGAACTTAACTTGATCATAACAGTACAGAATCTACAAACAGTTTCTTCATTATAATGATTTAACTTTCGGTAAGCTTAAATTGATGTATACTGATAAGTCTATATTATAAAAAAATAAAGCTCTAGACCAATTTTCAGAAGCGATCTACACGTTAAAATCTATGTTATGAAATATTTTTAAAAATAACAGGATATATTTACAGTATACCAGCTAAACTATAAAAGACACTTTACAATAGTAAGATCTCGAGAAAGTCTCAGAATGAATCATTATACCGCCATCCACCAAGTAACCCAGGAACAAAAAGGATGCTCTGGTGATCAAATAGGAAAAGTAGCGAATCTATCTTGGATCATTATTTTTAAAACACGACTACTGGAGCTTAATCGAAAACCATCTAGATCAAACGTTTAAATAGAGATCCAAATTTGTTTCTGGAAGAGTACATAAGTACTGGTTGTGAAACTCTATACTATCACAGAGTTAACACAATGAAAGTAGTCAAAGTAACATGATCTTCCAAAATTAATCATAGTGAGAACCTGACTATGGGGAACGCAGTCCGGACAGGACGAAGAATTGGGGATATGAAAACTCAAGACACACATATGTCCCTATTCAAAGAATTTCGGGTCACGTCATCTAATGCTTCCGACCAAATTAGAAAGTCACACAAACCCCGGTACAGGCAGCAACACGACCTTAGTATACTTAGAAACCACACCCCTCAACGCCGTGATAAACATATAAGTAAACGGGACTGGCAGTAAGTTCTTAGCATCACAATTACAAATGGTACGTCATTTACTTATTTCCGATGTGAATTCACATCCCTTAAATTAGACACCCACAAAGTTTCAACCATATTTCTCGTGCCCAGGAACTACTTCTCGATAGAATGAAGAGCCCTAAAAACACAGAAGATATCCTAAACACGGGAACTGTGAGTTAACAGATTTGTTGGTGCACTGCCAGATATTAGGCACGATAGTAGACGCGGCGATCGTCAAACTGAATTCGGTTTTGCATGTCCATAAGGTAATAAAATACTAATAACTAGTAGTTAAGAGGTAAATGATAACGAGAACAGAAGGACGTACAGAGAACAAAAACCAGCAGCGTACCCGCTATTTTTGAAACAGTGCTGGTCGGACTAGACAATGTACAATATAAATAAGTGGGGCCGCTGTGTTCCGCAGATTAAAGATAACTGCAAATAAACCGATTCCTCCGCCAAAATAACTACTAATACGCTTTTTGGTAAAGTGAGTAGGTTTGACGTATCCTACGTCGTAGTTTAATAAATCATTTTGTGTATCAATAAAATTACTGAAAAGACATAAGTCAGGGTCTACATGTTTTATTGAAATAACATCAGACTTAGACCAAATCGAACATCAATCCGAACCGTCATTTCCTCTGAAATCATTACCAGATATTTCATTAAGGCTAAGGATAACCAGAGATGAGTATTTGAGGATCATTATTCCTATGTATTACCAATTTCTCCATCTCACCATTTAAGGAAACCATTCATGTATTGAGATCGACTCAGTCCCTATGAATATTAAGGAAGAAGAATAGCCCGGCCAAGTTTGGCAATTATCAGGTGACATAACTTCGACGTCAGACTACATAACCCGAGCGGTCACGTTACTTATGTCCAGATTCAGCAGAGTAAGACACCACGCGAGAGAGTGACTTAACATTTCTTGACCATCTGAAAAACAAGAGGTGAATATAATAAAGCAACCAAATAAAATGGATGTACAACCATAATACAAAAGGAAACTCATTGTAAGAAAACAATGTAACGACGGAAATGGAACTCAGATCGAAATAGAATCCATTATTCCCTACAGAGGAACCGGAAATTATGCACATCCTACTCTTAGCATGCGCCTCTGGGTCGTTGTCATAATAATAAACGGGAATTTTAATTTTGGATGTGTTGTAAATAAAGTGGAAATACCTCGTAGGTCAGGAGGAAGTAAGCTTAAAAACATGGAAACTTTAAGTTCTATGAAGACGACCGTTTTTTCAGCTTAAGAACGGCTACTACCAGGCAACTATACACCAGTAGTTTTTTCCTACATGGTCCGCTAGAGAGCTCAAGCAACGTTACTATGATAGTCGGCAAACTTTATTTTTCTTTTCACATCTCTTACGCACATTCGAATGACTTCAGTTTGTTCCCCATAAGCATGTAATACGTAATAATATAAGGTTGTCAGTAAATTACAAACTAGTGAATCACACCACATTTTCATTGTCAAGGCAAATACACGATTAAGAATGTTAATGTCAATTCAAATGTTTTAACGTTCAATAATAGGACAATGATCTCATTGGAATCCTAGTAACGACAAACGTTATTTCCGCTGATTTTAATTTGGCTAACAGTATCTCGGAGTCAGTAGTAGACGTTGAGTGCTCTATTAACATTTCTAATCTCACTTTTGGTACTTTAGGTCTGGACTGCATATAAGCACCTTTTATTTCCATTACCAGTAATAAAAGCCAGTCACTTGAATAAAAGTAGAGCACAATACACAAAAGTAATTAAATTTAACGTAACCAGGGATTAAACGGTGGGCAGGACTGCGGTTATTACGAACGTCTAAAACGCTCTTTTGTCATAGACGAAAATTACAACCAATTATTCTGTCGTTGTCAGGAAAGAAAACAAATCACTGCAAAAACACTGTGAATATGACAGGATCGAACGCTGTTGGTTTCCAAGTATATCACAGCAATTTACCTAGAACGCAAACAAGAATAAGGATGGCGTTGGTGAAATAAGGTATTTTTACCATCGATAGTGACAGACGGATGTGATGCTTCTTAACTACCAGTCAAAAGAGGGAAAAGCATGTTCCATTTAGTTGTCAGATTATGACTGACCGATGTTTTCAGAGTGACTGACAGTGAAACTAGCAAAGTCAGCATAAATGTCTAACGTCCACAAGATCACATGTTTTCCGAAGTTTTAAAGACCCGAATTCCGTTGCCACCCTACAATGATAATGCGAAACCTTGGACGTTGTCAGCGAAATCTTCAAACCTAACAAGTACACGTCGGCAAACAGCCTTCAAACGGTTAGCAATGTCCGGTGGAGCCTGGTTGTTTTCATTTATACTGTGGAATCGTGCGATGAATACTAAAATACAGTTTCTATTTCATTCCCTCTGGTACTATATTTGGTTATTGCGGAGGGCTTGGAAAATAAGGAGGAAGCATATAAATGACTGTTCTTAGAGCTCATTTCTCATAAGTCCTGAGCTTTTTCGAGCTTTTTCACTGCACGCCTTACAAGTGTTATGAGAGAAACCCAGTTTTCGACTTACTGTAGATTGTCATTTTAATCGTTGCCAATCTTTTGCTGGGTTTCGACGTATTTGTTTTACTGAAATTATGAATTTGTTACAATTTTGACCTCAAACATCTGACTTCCGCTTTGCCTTTGTTTTCTTTATCGACTCTAAAAGCTTAAAACATGGATGTTTCCTATGAAATTTATTGTTATTATTGTGATGCCGAACGATATTTTGGTGTTTTGCAACGCACGAATATAACTTGTCTGTTCATATCTTCGAATTTATGTCTCATCATCAATTCATTAGAAGTTACATATCACACTTCTATCAAACCAGTGTCGCATGTAACACAAGTAACCACTCAGAACTTATCGATTCCAACTTTTTGCGAGAAATTGACGTTACCTGCCAGCAGTTGATTACTATTCGTAGTCCCATGGTTACTTACACAATTTCTATATTTATCGGAAACATATGGAAACATATTCTAGACATGTACTACTTCCAGTCTATCGGCGAGCTTGTGTATCTTTCGAGGAGTCAATACAAAGTCCAGAGATGTGTGTACTATATTTTATGGTTGTTTGCAAAAAGACATATGTTTATCAGGTTCAGATTGATTTAAGTATAAGGCATAACGTTTAGAACCTGTCTCATGAAGGAAGTAAAGTCTACTTCAAGCACCGAAAATGTGCCCCCTGAAAAGACCTCTGAAAATTGAGCGGCTGAGCTGTAAATAAGTTAAGTTTTAGTCCATCACACGTTTTTACGGATGGGAAGGAAACTTCCAATTGTCAGTGAGGTCATTCATGCATAATGCTGACTTGTGGGCTGTTTTTTGAAACTACAGTTCGGGATAAATCATCCGAAGTGCGATTTAGAGTCTTAGTATTAATATACATATAGCGTGTCGTGTGAAACGATCAACGCATGTTAAAGATAACAGGATTTATTTAATTCGGGTAGGTAGCTTACTTTATTGATGAATATGAATCCAACGAACATCTAGCACGAGGAAGTCCTATGACATATTTGTTATATCTTGTTACCTAAATGATTGTTCCATTTATACAGCTGTCCAACCCATTGTTTTCAGGCAAGTAAAATTATCGGTTGGTGAGCTTGATGGTTCTTCGAACGCATTAAAGACGTTGAGGTGATACACTGAGTACATAATTTGGTAGTTTTTGCCACTGAATGAACCAAATGACCGTCACTCGTATCTTTTCTAGTCAGGCACAGCTAGAATTTTCGATTTTTAACTGATTAGTTGTATAACTTGTGGGATTGGACCATTTTAATAAAATCAATTCCTTGGAAAAGACTCAGGGAATTTACTAATCACAAAGCACCTTCTACCGAATTGTTCGTTCAAGAAATATGGCATAAATATGAAGTGGAATGAGGTTTTTCAAAGAATTGTCAGGTCTCTCGAGTGTGCTTGTTAGGTCTTTTCAATGAAGTATGTTAAATATGTACACCCGTTATAAATCACGAATTCTTGGCCTGTTACGAAATGCTTTACTTTGATTGTATATACTACGATTGTCCCCCGAAGGATTTGAGTGATTACCAGTTGTTATCTATTCATCATTGGTAAACTACAAAGATTGTTGTGTAAGGCCACTGAAATTTCATTGGGCCTTGGTCAAATCATCTGGTCACTGAAGATTGAACGGTTCATCGGTTCCCATCGAGATCAAAGACTACCAACGCGTATGAATAAATCTCGCGCCATGGACTGGCCCATGTAGTGGTGTATCTACTCTAATTAATATAATTTTGTAATAACGTCCTTTGTGTTGTGCGGTCATCGAAGCATCCATGTAACTTGATACGACAAAAAGGTAATCCACGTTAGATGCTGACCGGGAGGTGTGACTTAGAGGTCAGCTGTTGGTCATTCCATTCCTTTCTAACTAGAGTAGGCCTCCGATAATTCGAAATAGATCATCAACGTTCAGGAAAAACATCTGTATTGAATATATCTACGATGGAACTAATGAGAATTTTAGGGTTGTACTCAAAGACAGCGAATTTTGAGATCGTTAAGCACTTCATATCACGGTCTATGCTGATACTTTCATCAATAGAAAAAGTTAATTGGTCAATGGTGGAATAAAAACGACGGTTCTGTGGTGTTTCATCGATCACATGGATTCGTGTGTAAGCTTTTGCTGGGAGTATTTTTAAAAATACGGCCATATATATCTAAGTAATACACAAGTTGCAGATGTGCACCAATATATAAGTATCTGAACTGGTTTTAATTAGTTCATCCATGATAACCGTCAGGGGGAAGTCATTGTCCTTCAACACAAAGATAGCGGTCAGCAACGAGTATTACTGACCATCAAAGATAAAGATTATCTTAAAACCCAGCATATAGTAGAATTTGTTTTTTGACGTTCTTAGCTTGTCAGCGTGCTTAAGAATAAAATCAGGCTTTCAGGTCATTGTGGTGTGATAAGTGAAACTACTGGCTGTAAATAAGTATTTCAGTAACAACTCGTTAAGTTTGGGAAAACTATTGAGTACCGATCGAAGTTTGTCAATTAGATGTTTTATGGGGAATTGATGTATTCTACAGCTAGAAAACAAACCTGAGCTCTGATGACTTATTAACTATGACCTCCATAGCAAAAATAATACTGGCTTTTGTTTGAATACCTTCCAAGTATGGATCGAAATTGAAATTCGTTACTAATGCCAACTCAAGACGTTTGGCGAACGCAACAAAAGACGGTCTTACTCCGTCACCAATATTGATAAGCGTAAGCTAGAGTCCATTTCCAACTTGAAAGCAATAGTGTTCTATAATGAAAATGAAATTTTATTATTTAGTGACAGGTGAATGTTCAGAATGGTAAAAAATTCCATCAATGGATTTAATTTACAGAATATTTTATCCACAATTTCGTTGTTTTGAAAAAATTTCGGGTAAATCTTGGGGTTTTCTTGAAAGTCGCGAAAAATTTGGTAGTTGTTGTCAAACCCAATCTCAAGTTTGAGGAAATTTTGGGGAATTTCGGGGAAATCTCCAAAGTCAAATGACCTCTACTGAAGTTAAAGGGGAATTTTGGGGAAATATTGGGAAATTTTCCTACATCTAGGGAAATTTTCGCGTCTTGGTGCCATTTCTTGTAAATTTCCACAAAGTTTGCTATAGCGGCTTCCCTAAAATTAGGATTTCGGGAAGCTTAAGCTTCCTAATTAGGGAGATTTTGGGGGAAAACCTCGAAATGTCATAAGGTTCCGGAGAAATATTGTGATAAACCCTAAATTTTCCCCAAAAACCCTGAGGAGTTTCCTCAGACTTGGGTAAACTTTGGGTTTTTTGTGCCGATACTGGAACGTTCCATAAAAGTTTCTCAAAACGGATGAAAGTTTCCCTGAAATTCGGAGATTAAGTTATTGGTTACCTAACGTTTGCATTTGGGTAGTAGAAAAGTATTCTTGGCTACAAAGATATATTATTCATTAATTTCATTTCGATTTAACTCACATATTCAACGGTAAAAATTGCTAATAATTTGAATTGTAACTCCCATATGATGCCTGCATATTGGGCCGATCTCTCGATTTTGGGTTAAATTTTTATCAGTTTTGGATAAAACTTGAAAAAGCTGCAGTAGAAACTTTTGTAGAGAGGCGACAAAACCTTAAACTTTCAAATTATTGTGGGGGATTTCCCAGAATATTTGAGATAACTTTGGATTTCGTTTAATATTTCCCCAAACTTTGGAAAGTTACTGACTCTAAGATGTTTCCAGGAAATCTTTTCGACGGGAACTGGTATCACTGCAAAGGTTAATGGATGAAACATAGATGATAAATCGGATTTTAGTTAGTGAGATCAGATACAAAGAGATCTATCTTTAGTTCATCGACACAGACATTCTTCCCCTGCCAATGAAAACTCAAACTTTTTGGCTTTATACTACCA